TGGTGTATGTTACTCAAAATCAATTTCCATGAAAACAAATACAAGAGTCTCAGGACTCCCATAGATACCCAAATCCATGGATGCTCAAGTCCCATTATATACAATGGTGTAGTACAATGGAGTCCCTTATATATAATGTCAAAAGCAATGGGGTGCATGTCATAATTTCTTCTGGTGGATTGGGGAATATTTTTAAGCCCTGGAGGGTTGCATCCGTGGATACTGAGGGCTGGCTGTAATCCCCACCTGCTGCCAAAGCTCTTTCATTCCACTAGATGGCGCATTGACAAAGAAAACCAATTTCTTCAGGGTGTCAGATCACGCTCATTATTATTATTATGGGCAATCTCTGTCCTTCTTTGACTACCTTGTCTTTAGCTCCAGGTATGATAAAAAAGGCAATAGGCAGCATAGTGTTTTGCCTCTCAAATTCCAACGAAAAGTGATGTCTTGACTATACTGAAATAAGTTTGTAATTCTGGGATGTATAGGAAGAAAATAAATACACACTCCATCAGTAAATAGTTGTTGTGCGCCTTGGAGTCATTTCTAAACTATGGCAACAGTAAGCTTGTCTTATGACAGGGTCGCCTTGTAAAGACTGGTTCAGAGAGAGTTTGCCTTGGCCTTCCTTTGAGGCTGAGAGAGAGTGACTTGCCCACAAGGGCATTTGCACTGTGGTTTAGCACCACTTCAACTGCCCCTGGCTCAATGCTAGGGAATCCTTTGAGTTGGGGTTTGGTGAGGCAGCCAGCTCTCTTTGGCAGAAAAGGCTAAAGGCCTTGTGAAATCTCAATTTCAGCCAAAATTGTGTCAAACTACCTTCATTCTACAGTGTAGATGTATCCTAAATTTCCATGGCTGAGAGGGGATTTGAATCCTGGTGTCCAGGGTCATAATCCAACACTGGAATCATGCTCACGCAGAATTACTGGAAGATTTAAAAAGTTTTTGAAGTTTTGTTTCCAAGTTGAAAAAAGTTGAACAAGTCAACACACACACTGATGCACCCCAGAAGCATGGCCAAATCATAACTGCCCCTGTATGGGAGCATCTACTCTGTAGAATGAATGTGGTTTGGCACCACTTTAACTGCCAGGGCTCCATTTGATTTTACCCAAGTTAATGAGAGAAAGAGAGAGAAGGTGCTCTGCACATATTGCTGCAAACTCTGCTAAAAGGGTTGCTGTGAGTTTTCAGGTCTGTATGGCCATGATCCAGAAGCATTCCCTCCTGATGTTTTGCCTACATCTATGGCAGGCATCCTCAGAGGTTGAGAGGTTTCTGAATGCAGTTTGACACCACTTTAAATGCCATGGCTCCATGCTTGAAGTTATAGTGTAGTGCAAGACTTCTTAAAACTTTTTCCACTTGTTTCCCCTTTCCACCACTTTAACTGCCAGGGCTCCATGTGATTTGACCTGATGTGCTGTGAGTTTTCAGGTCTGTATGTTCCAGATGCATTCTATCCTGATGTTCCACTCACATCTATGGCAGGCATCCTCAGAGGTTGTGAGGTCTGTTGGAAACAAGGCAAGTGAGGTTTATATATCTGTGGAACTACCAGGGTGGGAGAAAGAACTCTCATCTGATTGAATGCTGCAATTGATCACCATGATTAGCATTGAAAAGCCTTTCAGCTTCAAGGTCAGGCTGCTTCCTGCCTGGGGGAATCCTTTGTTGGGAGGTGATTAGCTGGCCCTGATTATTTCTTGTCTGGAATTCCTCTGTTTTTTAAGTGTTCTGCTAAAAGGCAGGCCCCGGTGGTGCAGCGGGTTAAACAGCTGAGCTGCTGAACTTGCTGACTAAAAGATCGGTGGTTCGAATCAGGGGAGCAGAGTGAGCTCCCACTGTTGGCCCCAGCTTCTGCTAAACTAGCAGTTCAGAAACATGTAAATTTGAGTAGATCAATAGGTACCGCTTCGGTGGGAAGGAAACAGCACTTCATGCAGGCATGCTGGCCACATGACCTTGGAGGCGTCTATGGAGAATGCCGGGGTCTTAGAAATGGGGGTGAGCACCAGCCCTCAGAGTCCGACAGGACTAGACTTAATGTCAAGGGAAAGCCTTTACCTTTTGCTAAAAGGGGTTGTCCCTGAACTGAGCCAGTAGCCCTTTGGTGACTCTTTGCCAGAGTCCATGCAGTCATGCCGGCCACATGACCTTGGAGGTGTCTATGAACAACACCGGCTCTTCGGCTTAGAAATGGAGATGAGCACCACACCCCAGAGTCAGACATGATTGGACTTAATGTCAGGGGACAACCTTTACCCCCCCCCCTTTTTTTTGGCAGAGTCCACCTCCAACTCGCACGAGCCCATAGCATTGAGCCTTGGCAGTGAAAGCGGTGTCAAACTGCATTCATTCCACAGTGCAGAAGAGGCAGCCTGTGTGTCGAACTAGGCCTCCCAGAGAAGCCAAGGGCGGGGAGGGAGAGGGGAACCTGCCGTTTCATAAGGCCCTGGTGTGGAGGAATGTGCCTTCTTCACGTAGTAAACAGCTCTGGCTTTGCCCTCGAGGGATACAGACTCAAGAGCTCTGCTCGGGCGTTTTGTCAGATGAGTGGAATTAAAAGTATTTCCAAATTGCTTTTCTGCCCATAACTCTGTCAAGCGCCCCAACGGAGAGAGTCGGGATCACCTGTTTGCTCGGAGACGCCACTCCTCTCGCCGGCTGGGGGTCTCTCTCTTTTAGTTTATTTATTTTACCCTCTCTTTTTTAAAATCTTTCTTTCAAGCCCCGAAGCCGCGCCGTTTCCGACGCCACCCCACCCGCGGTTGTTATCATTGGAGGAATCCTCCCTTTCTCTGTGCGGGTGATAAGCGGGCGGCGTCGCGGCCAGAACAATAATAAACACCGCCGACAAAACAGGGTCTGGTCCTCCCCCCCCCCAAAAAAAAAACCGCGCTGGGGGCGACGCCCGGCTCAGGCGGCACCGGGAAGGAAAGGGGAGAGACCACTGGAGGAGAAATGCACCTGAACTGCCATGGCCCAAGGCTGTGGATTCCTGGGAGTTGTAGTTTTCCAAGATCTTGAACCTTCTCTGCTATAGAGGGATGGTGCCTCGCCAAACTCCAGCTCCCAGGATTCTAGAGCAGGCCTGGGTCAACTTGGGTCCTCCAGATGTTTTGGACTTCAACTCCCACCATTCCTAACAGCCTCAGGCCCCTTCCTGTTCCTGCTTAAGCGGCTTAGGGGGAACAGGAAGGGGCTTGAGGCTGTTAGGAATGGTGGGAGTTGAAGTCCAAAACACCCAGAAGGCCCAAGTTGGCCCAGACCTTCTCTAGAATGAATGCCATTTTGACACCCCAGCAATGTTCCGCTGCCAGGCTCTGTGGCTGCGGAACCATGGGAGCTGGAGTTGTTTCCCCATGACTCTTTGGCAGAGAAGGCCCAAGATTTTGTAAAACTCCAGCTCCCAGGTCTCCATAGCTGCTCAAGGGTTGCCCAAGGGCGTTCATGCCACCGTTTTCTTGCCACCTGGGGCTGCTATTACCCAAGTGGTCGCCTCTATCAGACAGGGAAATCAAAGGGGAGTCCGAAACTCCTGTGTGTGTTTAGGGGGCGAGCTGGCTGGAGGACTCACGACTTGGGAAACTGCAAGTCGCTTCTGGTGTGAGATGACTGGCCGTCTGCAAGGATGTTCCTTGCCCAGGGGACGCCCGGATGTTTTACCATCCTGTGGGAGGCTTTTCTCATGTCCCCGCATGAGAAGCTGGGGCTGACAGATGGGAACTCACTCCGCTCCCCGGACCTTTGAGTCAGCAGTCCTGCCGGCACAAGGATTTAACCCATTCAACCCACAGGATTTAACCCACACAGGATATTTTACCATTCTGTGGGAGGCTTCTCTCCTGCCCCCGCATGCGAAGCTGGGGCTGGCAAGTGGGAGCTCACTCTGCTCCCACTTGCCCACAGTCAGCAGTCTTGCCCGCACGAGGGTTTAACCCATTGCTCGGAGGGGGGGGGGGGCTCCACAGAGCAAGGGGAAGGAGAGGGAAAACAAGGCCGGAGTCCAAGAGAGAAAGGACTAATGTATTGTCGAAGGCTTTCATGGCCGGAATCACTGGGTTGGTAGGTTTCTCGGGCTGTATGGCGATGAAACATTCTCTCCTGACGTTTCGCCTGCATCCAGGCATCCTCAGAGGTTGTGTGAGAGAGGATTTAGTGTCAGGAGCGACTTGAGAAACTGCAAGTCGCTTCTGGTGGGAGATAATTCGCTCTCAAGGACGTTCCTTGCTCAGGGGACGCCCGGATGTTTTATCATCCTATGGGAGGCTTTTCTCATGTCCCGGCATTGGAAGCTGGGGCTGACAGATGGGAGCTCACTCCGCTCACAGGACCTTTGAGTCAGCAGTCCTTCCAGCACGAGGATTTAACCCATTGCTCGGGGGGGGGGGGGCTCCACAGAGCAAGGGGAAGGAGAGGGAAAACAAGGCCGGAGTCCAAGAGAGAAAGGACTAATGTATTGTCGAAGGCTTTCATGGCCGGAATCACTGGGTTGGTAGGTTTCTCGGGCTGTATGGCGATGAAACATTCTCTCCTGACGTTTCGCCTGCATCATGGCAGGCATCCCCAGAGGTTGTGTGAGAGAGGACTCCCTGTAAAGACGATTCTCCTCCTGCTCCTTGAAGTGGGAATGGATCTGCAATGGATCCCTTGCTCGGGATGGAGTGGCACTCCAGGAAGGGAGGGGAGGGGGGCGCGGGTGAGGAGTCGGGCGGGCGCGCGCCTCGCCTCCGGGGCTGGGCTGTCCTCCACGCAGGTGACCGGTGCATCCCCCTGTCCCCACTCCAGGTCCCCTCCCTCCTCTGGAGAGAAAACACGCCCAAGAAGGAGCCAGAGAGAGAGAGAGAGAGAAGGAAGGAAGGAAGGAAGGAAGAAGAGACGGAGAGTAACACTGAACCTGAGGAAAGGAGGGAGGGAGGGAGCGTGCGCGCCAGCCAGATTATTGGAGAGGAGACTGAGCCCCAAACACCCCCCCTCCTCAGCAGAGCTTTCTCTCTCTCTCTTTCTCTCTCTCTCTCTCGCAAGGCTGGCGTGTGACAGGCATACAAATCCGGAATAGAGAGGCAGAGGCAGACTCCTGGGATTGTCTCTCGGGATTTACAAACCCAGCGAGAGGGAGGGAGGGAGGGAGCGGTGTCGGGCGCCCGCTCCGGGGCCACGCATCGTCGCCTTTGGTGCTCACCCCCCCCCAAGACCCCCGTGGCACCCCTTGACCGGCGCACAAAGGACCAGGACCAGGAGGAGGAGGAGGAGGACGGGGACACGCTCAGAAATAACCAGCCCTCCTCTATTCCTGGGAGTGGATTTTCCATTGATTTCTCCCCCCTTTTAAAACAAAACAAAAAACAAAGACAACCATTTCTCATGTGGATCTGAAACCCCCCAACCAGCGAGGAATATGAACAGGAAAACCAGGCGCTGGATATTCCACATCTTTCTGAGCCTAGGGATTGTCTATATCAAAATTGGGTAAGTCGCCTTCACTCCTCTCTCTCTCTCTCTCTCTCTCTCTCTCTCTCGCGGCGCCCAACCTGTCCGGACCTGTGCGCGTTCATCAACTTTGGGGGAAAAGTCTGACAGAGGCTTTTTATAAACCAGCCTAATGCAGAGTAGCCCCCTCCACGGGTCCCTGGCTGCTGGTTTCCCACTAAATCTTAAACCGGCGGGTGGGGGGGGGGGGGAGGAGGAGGAGGAGAGGGGAAAGCTCTTGTCCGGGGCTCCACGGGAGGCTGGACTCGAGTGGCGGCGGGCGAGGCGGGGAATCTCTCTCGCCCTCCAAAGTCTTTCCCAGTCCAGCCGGACAAGCAGCGCTGGGATGGATGGGGTGGCGGGTGGGGGGGGGGGGAAGCAGGGGTCAGAAGCAGGCTGTTCTCTTCCAAGGGGGTCTGCAAAGGAGACAGGCTTCCCTTTCTCAAGGTGATGGAGTTTAGGAGAAGGCACGGAAGCCCTGGCTGCGGGTTCGGGAGAAGGTGGGAGTGGCAAGCGCGCTCTGCACATGCTCGCAGTCAGGCTGGGCTCCAGACCCTGGCGGAGAGGGGGAAAGAAGGGCAGACACTGACTCGTTGGATCCCAGCCCCCGGTGGCGCAATGGGTTAAATCCTTGTGCTGGCAGACCGAAAGGTCTGCGGTTCGAATCCGAGGAGCGGGGTGAGCTCCCTCTGTCAGCTATAGCTCCCCATGCGGGGACATGAGAGGAGCCTCCCACAGGATGATATCAAACATCCAGAAAGGTCTGCGGTTCAATTGGGGGGAGGGGGCAGGGTGAGCTCCCTCTGTCAGCTCCAGCTCCCCATGCGGGGACATGAGAGAAGCCTCCCACAGGATCATATCAAACATCCCGGTGTCCCCTGGGCAACGTCCTTGCAGACGGCCAATTCTCTCACACCAGAGAGAATTGTGTCAAGTCGCTCCTGACACACACACACACAAAGCCCCAGACCTCCTCACCGGTCCGGTTGCAATGGAGCCAAGCAGACCCGCATGCCACCTCCCCCGCCCCCACCTTCGACCTTGCCTTGCATTTATTCCTCCCTCCCTCCGCAGCAAAGGAGTCTCCTCTCCGGTTGTTCGCACGCCTTTCCTAGGATGCTCACTCCGATCAGACCCTTCAGGCTGTGCGCCTCTCTCTCTCTCTCTCTCTCTCTCTCTCTCTCTCTCTCATTCTTAATGTATGAGGATGTCAACCCAAAAACACTCAGGGAAAGAAATCGACACAGCCCAGGCTTGGTCGCGCCACTCGGTGGAGTGGCTTGATTGTCAGCCTCTTTGGAAACTGGTGTTGTACTCCAGATCCCATCGGGCTTGTGAAGACTCTCTCTCTCTCTCTCTCTCTCTCTAAGTCTCAGCCCCAAACGCATGGCGGGATGGATGCCCGGAGGCACGTGCAAGGTGTGTTTGGATGCTGGCACGGGCGCCTCGTTTGCCAGGGAGGGAGAGGGGCCCAGTGCCTGCCTGCTTCTCTCTCTCTCTCTCTCTCTCTCGGGGAAGGTGGGGTCTTACTTCCTCACAATCCTACAGGTGCGATCCGATCCTGTGGACCCTCGACCTCCCCCCCCCTTTCCTCCCCGCCCCGAGGCCAAAGCCATTCCGGATCCCCTGGACGGCCATGCACCCAGGCAGAGGCACCCAGGCCGGGTCTGTTGGGGGCCGGCTGGAGAGAAAGGGAGGAAGAAAGGAAGGAAGGGGCGGGCCTAACCCGGCCCGGGGGGCTCCTCTTTCTCCTCTTCTCCTCCCCACCGGGTTCCCGGAGGAGCTGCCGGCGGGCAGAAGAGGCAGCCTGGCAGGACCGCGTCTCCTGGGTCTCTCTCTCTCTCTGCTGGGGAAACAAAATGATGTGGTTGGTTCTGCTCGAGTATGTGCCGCAACCTGCCGGCTGACATTAGCCAACTGCGCCTCCAGGAGAGGGGGCCAGGAGCGGAATCATGTTGGGGGGTGCGGGGGGGGGGGAGAGAAGAGAGAGGGGGGGGGGGAGAGAAGAGAAGGCAGAGCCAGGGAAGCTGTTCTCGTTGGCTAGCTACACCTCCTTCAGGACCACATTGGGTTGGGGAAATCAGGGAGTCGAAGTCTTCAGAAGGAACTTTCCAAAGTTCTCCTGGGCCCATTCCTTTCAGATTCGACATCTTTTGGCTTTACTCGTGGGAGGATGGAAGCAAGGAGAGGGAGAAGTTTCCAGTTATTGTCGAAGGCTTTCATGGCTGGAATCACTAGGTTCTTGTGGGTTTTTTCGGGCTATAGAGGATGCTTCTGAGGATCCTCTGAGGATCCTCTGAGGATCCTATAGAGGATGCCTCTGAGGATGCTTGCCATAGATGCAGGCGAAACGTCAGGAGAAATGCCTCTAGAACATGGCTCTATAGCCCGAAAAAACCCACAAGAACCTAGTTTCCAGTTAGACTTCCAGGGAGACCTTTCCCCCTTGATGAAAGGTTAGACTCGAAAATAAGCTTCTGTCCTCCTTGATGGGTAGAGCAAAGCCCAGAGGCATCTCTGTGTCCTTTGAAGTCCACATTCACCTGCCATTTCCGGCTCTCTCCGAAGTTACTCAAAATGTAGAAACTTTTCTCAGGAGATATACTAGATACCCAACTTGCTGGGTGTTGTTTCATGGTTTTTGTCCGATGGGCTGTGAGAGCCTGGTCTCTTTCAAGGGTTATTTGTTGTTGTTCTTGCCCTCCAACGTTCTTCCTTCCTTCTTCCTTTTGGCAGGGGCTTCTCTTCCGTGGTGGCTCTGGGAGCCAGCATCATCTGCAACAAGATCCCAGGCTTGGCTCCTCGGCAGAGGGCGATCTGTCAGAGCAGACCTGATGCCATCATCGTGATCGGAGAAGGCTCCCAAATGGGCCTCAATGAGTGCCAGTTCCAGTTCCGCAATGGGCGCTGGAACTGCTCTGCCTTGGGAGAAAGGACAGTCTTTGGAAAAGAGCTGAAAGTGGGTACGTTACCTCTTGACTCTTCCTTGTTGCTGCTGCTGCTGCTGCCAAGGGTTGGGAGCCTAATCTCCAGGGAAGTTTCCAAAAGAAGAGAGAGGACTCAAGGAGCAAAAGGATGCCAGGGCATCTAGAAGATACTCCCGAGGAACCATCTATTTGCCCTGTTTTTATAGCCCAAGCTGTGGCACTTGGCCTTCTTTCCCATGTTTATCATTACCACTACCTTCCAAGCAAGGCTGAGAGACAGTGAGGTCACCCAGTGAAGTCATCCAGTGAGCTTTGTGATGGGAGGGGTTTAAGCTGGGCCTATCCAGTCCTGGCACAACTGTCTAATCCAGGAATGGGCAAATTGTGTTCCTGGGTCACCCTGCTCCAACCTTTCTAGACCATTCTTTCTCTGGCCAAGAAGAAGAGTGCATTGCCTCTTCCATAAGCTTTGCACCATTCAATATTTTAAAAAACCATGGTTTTCAAAACCAAAAGTGGACTTGCAAGCATCACTTTCTGCTTTTTTATGACCATTATTGATGTTGGGAGTTGCCATTGGATTCACCACATCTGTCCATCCCAGGCTTCACCACTCTTGCAGGCTTAGTGGAAGTCCAAGGCACTCTTTTATGCTAATATCTATTTCCCTTCAGAATACAGAAAGCTATATGGCTTTGTCTTTAATGTGGCTTTAAAATTGTTGTTATAGCGTGCCTTCATAATGTGACCTTAAAGAAAACCTCTCACAGGATCTTTTTGGCAAGATTTGTTCAGAGCAGGTTTGCCATTGCCTTCTGAGAGAGTGTGACCTGCTCAAGCCCACCCAGTGGATTTCACGGCCAAGTGGGATTCGGACCCTAGTCACAGTCATAATGCTTAAGCCACTATGTACTATGATGGTTGAGCTTTAAATATAAGTAAACTTGTATCCTTGAATCTTTAAATATAGGTGGATTTGAATCTGCTGTAAATATAGTTGTGTCTAGAGCAGGGATGGACAAACCTGGGCCCTCCAGGTGTTTCGGATTTCAACTCCCATGATTCCTACCAGCCTCAGGCCCTTTCCTTTCCCCCCTCAGTGGCTTAAGGGGGAAAAGGAAGGGGCCCGGGGTTGTTAGGAATTGTGGGAGTTGAAGTCCTAAACACCTGGAGGGCCCAAGTTTGCCCATGCCTGCTCTAGAGTTTGCTGTTGCTTTCTATCAGACAAACAAACAAAAAACTCAAGTTCTTGGCACAACTATTTTTCTATAGTAGCAATTCAAGGCAATGCTCAACACACTGCCTGGTAGATGTCTCATTAGACTCTGTGGGATTTCTGATTGGACTTCTGATTGGCTAATAACAAAGCTGCACTCAAAAGTCAAATTGCTAAGAAGTTAGTTTGATTGAACTCCACAAGATTAATATTTGAGTAAATCCACCCATCCTGCTAGTTGAGCATTTTAATAACTCATACATAGGATAGACATCTATTTTCAACAATAAAGACAATATGTTGCAGTGATCTGAAGTGTTGAAGTAGGACTTTGAGAGATGAGACATGGAATCCTTATTCAGCCATGGAAACCCACTGCATGACCTTGAGCAAGTCACACTCTCTCCTCCCCAGAGGAAAACTATGGCAAACTTCTGAATTAATCTTGCTCAGAAAACCCTGAGAAAAGATCATCATAAACTGGAGTTGACTTGGAGGCCCATCACCACTATGACAACAAAATATAACAAGTAGTGAGACACTCTGATAATAAGTGTGGTGTAATTGGTTGACTGTTGGAAGAGGATATGGAATCCTCCTTTGAGCATGGAAAACCTCTTGTCTGACCTTTGGCAAGTTGTAGTCCCTGAGACTAAGAGAAAGGCAAGAACAAACATCTTCTTAGTCAATCTTGACAAGGAAACCCTGGGAGGCACAAAATAACAACAAGAAATCCAGTCAGTAAAGCTTCTATAAGCATATTATGGGCCAGCTTTAGGTTGTGTCCAGTAGAGGTGGGCAAAGTATGGCTCCAGAGTTGCTTGTAACCCTCAAGGTTGTTTTTGTGGCCAACTTTCCCAGATTCCATAGACTTCCCCTTTTTCCCATCCATAAAAGGGTCAATTACCTGTCCTAATGAAATGACTTCCAGCCACTTCCAGATTTTTTAAAAAGTGGAGACAGGATTCTGAGCAGTCCCAGGATCCCAGGAACACAAAACTGGTCCTTAGTCCTACAAAAATTCTTCAGTGCGGTACTGCGGATGTGTGATGCCCATAGGAGAACACTGTGGCAATATTTAGTGTTTATTTTAAGCGGATTGCAGTGAGGCTAGTGTAACTTGAGCTTGCAGTAGAAACAGGAGAAATTACTCTGGAAAGTCTTCTCAGGTTAAAAATAAAGACATGCAATTATTATCTCAGGAAATCCATCTTCAGATAATAAAGGAGGTAGAAAAGAGAAATTGAGCTGTCCTTGGTAACAAGAGGCCCTAAAACAGTGGTTGCCAACCTTTTTTTTTTGACAAGGGACCATTTTGACTAGAGGCCACTTGACCAAGGACTACTTTGGCCAGGGACCACTCTTCAACATTAGTACCAAAAGGGTTACAAATTATTTTTTGCTCAACTTTAGATTTGGTTTGGTTATATGGGGGTGCTGATTCAGAAAATTGCATTGGATAGACCACATCAGCTCTAGTTTCTGATACCAAACATAGGCCATCTAGTAGTCGCCATCTGCTTGCCCACAGAAAACCATATTTAATTATCTAGAGCTGATGTGGTCTATCCAAGGGGTTTGCATCCTCATGACCCACAGGTGGTTCACAACCCACAGGTTAAGAACCACTGCCCTAAAAGCCGGCTCTCCTGTGTAGATATAGGCTAGCGTTCATTGTTGGGTTTTGAGCCTCATGGATGCTTCTTCTCAGGCAAAGGAAAACAAAGGGACTAAGTCATTTCTTGAGAATAGAGGAAAGTGAAATCTTCAGGTAAGAAGGAAGCAAACAGCTTAAGTAGATAGATTAAAGAAAGATAGGGAAAGCATCTATACTGTAGATTAATACAATTTGAAATTCCTTTAATTGCCTTGACTCAGTGCTGTGGAATCATGGGAATTGTAGTGTTCCAAGGTATTTGGCCTTCTCTGCCAAAGAGTGCAGGGACCTCACCAAACTACAACTCCCAGGATTCCATAGCATTGAGCCAGGGCAATTAAAGTGCAGCCAAAGTGCATTAATTCTACAGTGTAGACGCACCCTAAGACAACTGAAGTGGTTAGTAATGTGATTACTTTGAAGACAATCACAAAATAATGAATTAAATGTAACGAAGTTCCTCAAAGAATAAAATTAACACATCAAGCAATGTGTAAAATACATAAGATTCTACTGAGTGATTGCACAGATGACTATGTTGTCTCCTGACACACCCCGCCCTCCAGCAGCACACTAATTTAAGAGCAAAAACTGTGGAAATATGTGAGTATGTAAAGGACTGCAGACAGGCCCCTCAAAAAAAAGTGTAAAATATGAATGTCAGGAGCAGGCAATTTATTATTATTTTCTACTGCCTCCACAAAAGTTCATTAGAAAGTAACAACCAGTCAGTCTGAAAGGTGTTGCCACATTTCTTTTTCCCTTCATCTCCCTTTTTTCTGCCTTTTTTGTCCTCCATGCTATCATCACACATGGAATACTGTATAGAGTTCTGGTCACAGTTCCTAGAAAAAGATATTGTAGATCCAAAAAATGTGCCAGAAATGGTGATGAAAACAATCAAGGGAATGTGGGCTATGAGGACAGGTTGCAGGGTACAGGACTGTTTAACTTAGGGAAAAGAGAGAAGGGTAAAAGAAGAAAATAAGAGAACTATACAAAAGTGTGCCTCTTTCATCATATTAGAACCAGAGTCATCCACTGAAACTGCATTTTAGGAAGTGCAGGGCAGGCAAAATGAATTCTTCTTCGTTCAGTAATGCTAAACAGCCATACTTGCTGACATACAATGTAGCGATGGCTGTAGTGGAAGTTAGAGTGATCATTGGTTACTAGGATGTCTAACTGTGATTACCAGAATCAAAGCCAGTAATCCTCTATGTCTCAATTGCTAAGGAATGTGAGATAGATGGTCCAACTCATTTATGTTCTGCTTGAAAGATTCCCACAGACATCTGGTTGGCTACTGTGTTAAGAGAATGCTGTATGAGATGGGAATTTGAACTGATTCAGCTGAGCTGTTCTTAAATCAGTTCACAGATAGAAAAATCAATAAATGTTGTAATGTTTGCCTTAGGGTTGCCATAATTTGGAAATGACTTGAAGGCACAAAGCACCACAGTGATTTCACACTTCTAGAATAATGTGCATGGTTTCATGATCCCTAGATCTCTCAATGAGACAGGATAATAGATATTACAAGAATAGGACATTGGAAGGAAGGAAAAGAGGCCCAATGCTGATGAAATCATGATGTCTTCAGGGTCAGAATCATAAGAAAGAATGTGGGAAAGGATTGCAGACAGTCAAGCAGGGCTGTACCAGGTGCAGTAATGCTATCAGGTTACTCCTTAGACTTGCCCTGGGGATACTGGGAAAAAGAAAATAAAGAATGGGTGATCCCCTATTTTTTTAAAAACAAAAACAAAATTCAGCTGGTACTTGGAATTCTATCTTTAGGCCAAACCTAGTATTTTTGGTAAGTATTTTTGGTTGGTACAAAATGGAAGAAGAAACACAGTGAAGGGGTGAGTTTGCTTGGCAATATTGATTTTGAATTAATTGTCATGTATACCGTAATATGACCTTTTTTGCTTGATATAAGAAAGGATCAATACATCAACTTGTTCAGCATGTTGCTACTGTTTTGGAGATGCTTAGTCCATCCCTGTTCTTTCAGAGGAGGTTTTCTCAATTGACATGGGCATGTTTAACCTGCAGAAGAGAAGGCTGAGAGGAGACATGATATGCCATGCATAAATATGTGAGGGGAAGTCATAGGGAGGAGGGAGCAAGTTTGGGACTAGGATGCAGAACAATGGC